TGTAGCTCCAGCAGAAGATAAGATTAGAGAATGTCGCCTTAGATGGTTTGGTCACATAAAACGGCGGCCTTGCGATGACCCGGTTAGGAGAGTAGAGGTATTAGATTTGGCTTATGTTAAGAAAGTTAGGGGTAGACCTAAAAAGACTTGGTTAGAAAATATTAGGAATGACCTTTCTTTAATAGATTTAAACGAGAATTTGACTTTTAATAGGACAATGGAGAAAAAGGATTCATGTAGCCGACCCCATGTGGTGGGATGAAGGCTTGATGTTGTTGTTGTTGTTGTTGTTGTTTACATTTATCACTGAAAAAATACAGCTTAACAGGATTTTACCATAGTTAACTCTGTTTATTCAATCTAAATGAATATGAAATTTGGATGTGCATTGATTAAGCATCACTCAAAACGACCATAACTCATAACTATTACAGTAATATTGCTTTGATTGCCACTTATTGTGCTTGTTCAATCACAAGAAAACAGTTTATTTAACATGATTTATTGCATTATTAGATATTGCTTGCTATGAGAAATCATTAGTACTTTCTGTGAAGAAATAATTGCTGGAATAGGTTAATAATTTTCTGTATCAAAATTTGAACTTTTATCTATATTGTCCAGGTTCGAACAACCAATTCAAATTCACAACACAGCTGTGAAGATAGATTTTTTATGGTTGATAAGACTGTTGATTATGGTTCTAGAATGGCAATTAAAGGAGCTGGAGAGCAAATGAATCACTTTGGTAAGAAAAAATATCAAAATGAAATCAATCAACATATTCCGTTTTCTTCATTTTCCCTGCAACAAAACATTTTAGATACCCCAATTCAGATTTGAAACTGGATGGAAATGAACTGCTGAATCATTGTTAACTTGTCTCATTTGAAGTTAGTCTATAATAATAGTTGAAAGAACATCAGATATAAAAATTCAGGGTGATGATTACTGAGAGGTATTATCATGCTGTCATTAAACAATTGTGTTACAGAAGTTATCATTGATAAATTCATTCCTCTTGAAAGTAATATATCCGCATCAATAAAATTAAGTTAGACTATATTGCTTTATTCAGTTGGATTGACTTAGGAACCTCACTTATTCTAAAGGGGTGTTATTATTGTAATATAGTTCTACTTGAATTGTGCAATCTCTAGGCAACTGGTGAAGGTTTTTAATTATGGCAAACGGTTAGGGAAAATGATGGATTTTAAGTTTTTGAATTGTGCAATCTCTAGGCAACTGATGAAGGTTTTTATTGATGACAAACGGTAAGAGAAAATGATGGATGTTAAGGAAAAGGCGCACACTTGTTAGCAGCATTGTGTTATGGTGGATGTATTAGACAAGTGGAATGTCAGTAAAGGTTGGGTTTTTAGGGGTTATTTATTTGAGGCTGAGAAGTGGTGGGAGGAATTATTTGTAGTGATTTGTAGGTGAAAAATGGCTTACATTATGCTATGGCCGAGAGGTAAGATGGGGGTTATTAAGATCGTAGTGATTGAGAGAGGTGGAGTGGAGGCTTGGGAGGTGGTGGAAGTTTGGAGGAGTCCAAACCCTTGAGGGGTTATTTCGGGATTTATTGTAGGAGGATGGGGAAGGTGCTTAGTGGAGATCTATGACAGGTTGTGAGTTTGTAGAGGGTGATGACTAGGGTTTGGAAGAGCTGCTAAAAGTTAGAAGAGGAAGAGAGATAAATATAACATACAAAAACTTTGAACTCAAACTTAGCAAAGTCCAAGTCTAGGATCTCCCACTAAGCTATCCTAAGGGGATTTGCAATAAGCAAACTTTGAATAAATAATCTGAAAATGGAGTACGTAATGTTCTATTATAAGCTAAGAAAATAAGAATAACCTCACTCATCCATTAGGACTTTTAGCCAAATCAGATATTGTAGTATAGTGGTTCCAATTTGCATGCATTCACATTGTCTATGATTGGAGTGACTCACCAAAACAATTTGGAGTGAATTTCATCTTATTTTCACTCTTTTTCTTTTCTTCAAAAGTATTTTGGTCGATTATGCCTTGCGACGAAGGTGAAGTGATCTGGTTAATAGCATTTCGAAAAGTGCCAGTCAAGCTTGGTCTTACTTTCATGCTTTGAGATTTGGAGGGTTAATGATGATGATAATTTGAAATCCTGATGCTTTGCTCTGATCCATACTCTTTGTGTTGCATCAACTCTATTGCAACTTGATTATTATTATTATTATTATATATATACGTACGTACATACATACATATTGCACCTAGATTTTTATTATTTATTTATTTTATTTATTATTATTATTATTTTTGCACCTTGATTAGTTATTTTAAATTTTTTTAGTATTGTGATAATAATGCACCTTGATTATTATTATTATTATTAAGAAAAATGACCTCAAAAGATTAAAAAAAAAAAAAAACAAAAAAGAGCAAGATACAAGACAAAATCAAAAAATAGAGGATTCATCCTGCACTCGCCACCCAGATGCCCGGCCAGGACCATCCATTGAAGGCATCAATCCAGTCCAAAGATAACCTCGAGAGCAACAAGTATCATCTCACATCCAAAAGAAGAGCCACCAAAGTCTGACCAAAACAAGCAATTCCACCACCAAGGTTCCCAGTAAGACAAGAATATTAGGTGGTGAGCGCATCATTGTCCATTTACCTGAAACAAACCAAAAGCTCTAAATAATATCCACAATTGCAAATCCACTGCATCCAATAGGGATAACAAACTCATCATAAGAAATCAAAAACCCACAAGGCCACACCGTGCAAAGCCAAAGGCATCTAGCAAAGAAGAAAAAGTTATTCCTATTGTGTATGAAAATAGAGGGCACCACCCACAACAGTTCAAATGAAGAAGCCCGCCCCAACCAGGCAGACCCCAACAGCATAGGGAAGGTCAAATCCAAAAAGAAGATTCATTCTTTTTGGATTTATGTTTTCTATGTTTGCCACTATTTTTGAAAAACCAACATCAGCTATTTGAGGAGTACTTAAATCAAAGTTGTCATAATAATTCAAATCTTTCTCATTAAATTCCTCCATGCCTGTTGAAGAGTTGTCATCTTCTAACCAGTCACCATGCCTTACCACTCCTTAGCAAGTTGAGCTAACAAAGCATCACTGGAAATAATTGATATAGGCACATCAATCAGAGGCACAACAACTTCATCATTACCCTCATTAACTACCATAGTATGAATTGGGGAAGTAAGCATCCCATAAGCCACGTTATCCAAATTAACTTGCCCTACCGTAGCACCACCACCCCCAAAAACTAAAGAAAGAATTATCACTCGACTCCTCCACAGCTTCAGCACAAATAGGACTAGCTATAAGGTTAATTCAATAATTATTGGCATTTAGGTTAACCTCAACACCTTTAAGACATTCTCTGTTAGTAAAATTGATATTCATAGGCATAGCAGTATCTAAAGGAGCAACTACATCCTCAACATAAACGGGATCACCCAAAGGTAAAACCGAAGCTAATTGTCCATCAGCTTCCACTGAAGGACCAGCATCATTCCCGTCAACAACATCAGTAGGACCCAACTCCATAGCCAAATCATTGGTAACACAAGAAACAACATTAACCACCCTTCCCCCCCCCCAACAATAACGTTCATCGATTTAGAGGCAACAAGAACAACAGTAGGCGAGGTAGAAGACAAATGACGCCGACAATCACCACTCAAATGACCTGTACCTTTACATGAGCACAAAAGGATGTGAAAACCTCCATAAAAACTTGCTGAATATAACCTAATTTTTCAGGATCCAACCAAACTTTGTCAGGATAAGTTTTCGTGATGTTAAGCTCAACCAAAACACGGGCTACTGAAGGACAAGAACCCACGGAAGTAGCGTTATAAACCTCAACGGCCTACCAAAAATCGAACCCAAGCCATAAAGGATATTGGGAGAAACATATGAGGGCGAAGATTAGGGAAAGAAATCTAAATAGGGATAATAAGAGACTTTACACCAACATCAACAAGAGGAGACTATTTGGTTAATTTCATATAACAATTATTAACTAAATAAGATCTATGATATCATTAATTATTTTAATCAAAATATGTGACAAATCAAGCAAGGTAACCGAGACATCACCAGTAAGCTTAAGGTTGAAAACAAAAACCTTCGAATGGATTCAAGAGAAAGACACTTAGAGGGGAAAAAAACCAACTAACAAAAATTGAAAAGGAGCCGCTAGGGAAGTGATTACTTCTTCCGAGATCCAAAGTGATGACAAGCCACGAAAAAAAGAAGGTTTGAGATTAGGAAATCTTCCATCAGAGGAACTTCTAGCAAGAGCATTGAGAAAAGATCGAGACTTGAACGAACCATCTAAAAATCCAGGGCTGCTCAGGCTTTTCATCGTCATTCTGGCCAAAGAGGCCGGGGGAAGGTGAAACGAAAGAAAAACGAAAACCAGAGTATACCACAATACAGGAAGAGAGAAAATAGGAAGACTTTCCTGGAAGAACCATCGGTGAGGGTGTGAGGAGCGCCACCGGCATGGGAACCCTAGCCGGCAACTAAGTTTTTTTTTTTTTTTTTTTTTTTTTTTTTTTTTTTTTTTTTGTGGTCGATGCACCTTGATTATTTTTACTCCATTATGAAGGGGTATTAGGGTTGTATGGATTGAGAGTGGAGTAGACGCTTGAGAGGTGATAGAAATTGGTTGGAAGTTGATGTGGATGGGGTAGCCCTATGAGAGGTTGAGGGAGAGTTTCTAGGATTGTTGGGAGTAGAAGGGAGTGTCTAGGGTTGGGGAGACGTGATATAAATGTGAAGAGGAGGAATAGGGAAATTAATGAAGCACATAATATACAAAAATTGAACTCAACTAAGTCCAAAGTTAAATCAACCACCAACCTTCTCCTAAGGGATTAGCAACAAGCAATTTCAAAGTTAATTCTATAATTTTAAAAGAGAGTATATGATTATCCTTTTATAAGCAAGAACCATGAAAATTACATCACCTATTCAGCCGGGCCAAATCTGGAAGTGTTGTTTTTCCAATTTGCATGCGTTCACGTTGTCCATGATTGGAATGATCAAAAGATAACCTGGAGGGAGTTTTATCTTGTTTTCGCACTCTTTATATGTGCTTTAAAATTGTATGGGCCAACCATTCCTTGTAAGGAAGTTAGTGTTCTCGTAGAATGAGTGCCTGGTTGAATTCGAAGAGGAAGGGCCAACCAAGTTTTATCGTGCTTCCATGCTTTGAGATTTGGGGTGTTGATGATGTGATTTAGAATGTTAATGCAATGCTCTAATTCTTGTTCTGATCTCATGTTTGTTCTATATGGATCTCGGTGCTCTTACAGATTTATGGTCATCATGCTCTCCCTCCCTCTTCCTCCCCTTGAATAGGAAATGTTTTGCTTCAACAACAGTGAAGTTACAAACCTTTAAAAGTGATGCCAATACAACCGTTAATTATTATGTTGTAGCTCTCCAAAAGGCCACTGGTTCTATACTGATTTTCACATGTGATATTTTGTACTTCTATCCTTTGTTCATTAACGCGTCTACAGATTGTCACTGTGACTGTTCATTAAATCATTTTAATATGACCAGCACGGATTATTATCTGGTTAAAGGGTATTGCCACTGTCATCTGTTAAATTGGTTTCCTATCAATTTTAAGAATTTATTAGTTTCTTTGATCTTACTATGTTATTGTATTACCTTTTCTCATTACAAATCTTCCGTTACTTGCATGTATAGCGCACTTCTATTACAAGTTATTGGTTTCTTTAATCCACACAAGCACGAGTTTCTTGGCCTAAATTGTATCTAAAGAATATAAGCAAACATACATAGGGGGATTTTATTATGATTATGTTGGATGAATCAACTAGAAATGAATTAGTCTAAAAATTTATCTTGAATGTTATATGATGACTATTCTTCTCGCAGTAATTCTTTATGACTTGCGTCTTCATTTCCTTGGGCATTACAATGTGAGTTTGTATTATTTTTTCCACGTTATCCATTATCCTGTGTTCTCTGCATTTTTTTTGGTTGCAACATTAGCTCCCTGCCTCAGATATTAAGTTGCTTAGTGATTAGCTTTTATGTTTTCAGCCAGTTCGGGCCTCAGTTGGTTGAAGAAGAAAGAATCAATTGAAGGAGTTTTGAGATATTTTGCAAGTGCCTTGATGGCATTTTTTTTCAAGCTTCTCTCTGCATTCCGAGTTTTTGGTTGTAGACAAAGCAGCAGGGTTGAGGCAATTTATCCTTCATACACAGTACAATCTCAAGCTGAAAGTAATCAAGTTGTTGAGGATGTTAAAGAAGACAAAGTTAATCCTTGTTTAGAGCGTATACGGAGGCTTGAGCAAATGTTTACAGAGCTCAAGAGCAAACATACTGAGATTCCTGTAGAGAAGGAGCGTGTGCTCATGGACTCTTGGGATAGAATCAAATCTATTGAGTTTGATCTTGATAAGACCAAGAGGGTAAGTTTCCGCTTCCTTTTTTGTTGATATTCAATTAATATGATCCTATCGTAGCAAACAAACATTTTTGAAAGTGTGGATTTTCTCAAACTCTTCCTTGAAGTAGAAAATCATCAAATTATTACCCACTTTTTTTTTTAATCAAATTATGACTCTTTTGTTGCATTGTCATGCAGTTTAGGGTTGGAAACCATTTTTAAATTTTGTGTTGAAAACCATTTTTAAAGTTTTTTTTTAAAACAGTTGTTTTTTAGCTTCTATTTAGTAAGTTAAGAAACAGATTAAAAAAAAAAGCGTGAGAATTCTCCCGCCCATTCATCACAATGATTCAAGAGCTACTTGAATTGTCTTTTGGAGTTCATGACCCTATAATTTCTCAGCCAAAATTGAAACTTGAGCTTTACGTGCTTTTATTTTTTATAAAGCTACACTACAAGAATTCTTATTGAACCTATGGAAAGAATCTTCATTTTGCAATGGCAGAACTATTTGCCACTTTTTTACGTGGTTAGCATTTCAAATTCTGAAAATTTTAAGCGATTTTAGCGCATTTATTTGTAATTTTTAAAAATTAGCAAGTGCGTGTGAGCTTAAGCTGCATAAACGAGGCCAAAGAGTTTCCTTTCAATTTTTTTTTTTTTTGGTATATAAATTATTTAAATGCCTTAGATGGTTTTATCACATAAAACGACGTTCTTCCGATAAACCAGTTAGAAAAGTAGAGGTATTAGATTTAACTTATGTTAAGAAAGGTAGAGATAGACCTAAAAAGACTTGGTTAGAAAATATTAGAAATTATCTTTCTTTATTAGATTTAAACGAGAATTTGACTTTTAACATGACGCAATGCAGTCATGTAGCCGACCCCACGTAGTGGGACAAAGGCTTGATGTTGTTATTGTTGTTGTTGTTGTTGTTGGGTGTATAAATCTGTTAAATGCCTCTTTTTTCAGGTTCTGAAGTCCACTGTAATCAAGCAAATGGAGATTGCTGAAACTTTTAGTGCTGTGCAGGAGTCCACCATTAGGGTAAGCCTTCTTAATGTAAATTACAAAATATTCTTCTATAAACAGGTCCGAATAGTATCTGAAAATAACTGTAACTGCTCACTTTGCATTTTAATTGATTGGCGTATTGTCCTTTTTGCAGAAAAGATCAAAATGTTGAGAAATTAGAGTTTTGCTCCCCAAAACAAAAGAAAATCTAAACAAACAATCGTTTGGTTCCCATTTTTATGGGTGGATCAATCAAGTTTAGGAGAGCAGCATCCACTTTTACATTGAAGATTTTTTATTGCTCCATCTGATCAAATGATGACATCGAAGGAGCTTTTATGTCAGTTTTTTCTTTTTTTCTGGGGGAGTTCGGCATTTTTGAAGAAAATAATAGCAGAAAGAAAAGTGGCTGTAAATGGTTGATCTTCATCAGAGCTGATTGAGAGAGACAGGCTTGCTTCACGTTGGAGAGCTGTAAATTAGAGGTCCTGCAGAACAGTTTTTCATGGAGCCAAGCATGATTGACATTATTCTCTTCTTTTTAATTCTTTTTTTTTAGCAGTTCATCATATAATTTTCACATGTAAAGAGTGAGGGCCTCAAGTGGTGGTCCGTCGGAGGTGAGGGTCTCAAGTGGTGGTATGGAGGAGGTGAGGGCCTCAAGTGGTGGTCCGTCGGAGGTGAGGGTCTCAAGTGGTGGTACGATGGAGGTGAGGGCCTCAAGTGGTGGTTCGACGGAGCTCAGGGCCTCAAGTGGTGGTTCGGCGGAGCTCAGGGCATCAAGTGGTTATCCGGTGGAGGTGAGGGCCTCAACTGGTGGTCCGGCGGAGCTCAGGGCCTTATGTGGTGGTCGGCGGAACAACGACATCAGACGGTGGTCTGGTGGAACTCAGGCGGTGGTCGAGGAGGAGCAAGGAGGCAAGGGCGATCTTCGATCTCTCTCTTGAATCCTTTGGGGTGATGTCCCCTTTTCAAGATAAAATGGGGCTCTATTTATAGATTTTTAGAGTGGCATGACCTGTAAATAGGTGGGAGATCAAGGGAAAATGGTGAGTGGTTGGATGGATGGCTGATGTTGAATCCCTTGATCATGGTCTGTTTGATGAACATTTGAATATCTTAGTGATGTCGGAATTCGATGATCTTGGGCTTGTTGGTTTCATCTCGTCGAGCCGCTCGATTCGACTCTAAGCATGTTTTGTTTGGAAACCTTTTTGTAATTCAAATTGTGGTTCGAACCTTCCAATAGTGCTTCTAACCCTTGATTTTGATCCATTTGGGCTCGTATTTGGTTGGATTTAGTGTCGTTGGGTTTGTATTCTCGAGACGTTCAATTTGACTATAAGTTTGCTGAAATCGGAGTTCGAATGGTCCCGATTTTAATTCTGAAAGTTTCCAACTTAATTTTGCATTGAGATTTATGGCCGATCAAGACGTACCAAGAGTCCAAGATTAAATATAATATAATACTTAATTTTTTTTTTTTGAGACATTTAGGTCATTTAAGATAAACTCATACACACAACACATACACAAATACTCAAATCCAAGACCTTTTAGTTAGAAACATAAGCTCTCAACCAACACCAAGGCGAGCTGTGTAATACTTTAAAAATTTAAATGATCCATCATGATTTTAAGGACTCGCGATGCACAAGTTAAAATTGAATATAATAAAAAAAACCTTACGGATAAACAAAAGGAAGATAACAGCTTCCTTCTCGCTCATTCACATCCACTAACAAAGAGTACCTTATCTTCTTCTCACCCAATCACAACTCCCCTCTCTCCTCACCTCCACAAAGGCACACATCCCCTTCCTCCTCTAATACCTTCCACTCCCCACCCATGTCCTCCACACTCCCCGGTTCCACCATGGCCACCGCTACATCAACCGCCACCCTCTTCTCCTCCTCCTCCCCCCACCGCTCCTCCTTTCTCACCCACTCCCCCAAATCCCTCCGCCTCTCTTTCACCAACAAGCGCCGCTCAGTAACAAGCATAAAAGCCGAGCTCAACCCTCAAATAGTAATAAGCTTAAGCACCGGTCTCTCTCTCTTCCTAGGTCGCTTCGTCTTCTTCAATTTCCAGAGAGAGAACGTGGCGAAGCAGGGCTTGCCGAAGCAGAACGGGATCTCGCACTTCGAGGCGGGAGATGCGCGAGCGCGCGAGTATGCGGGATTGCTGAAATCGAATGATCCTGTCGGATTCAACATCGTTGATGTGCTCGCTTGGGGCTCGCTAGGGCATATCGTAGCGTATTATATTCTGGCCACTTCTTCCAACGGTTATGATCCCAGCTTCTTCGGCGGGCAGTAGTTGAAGGACTGGATCTGGAATTCTGGATCTCTCACCGGCCGCCTGTATTAGTTTTCTCTTTGTTTGTTCTAGCGTGCTGTTGTTATGGAGCGTATAGAAGGTGGATGGAATCTCCTAGCTCTCTAGCTACTTGTTGATTTGCTTTTTGGTTCGACTGTTACAGGAAGTTTTTAGACTAAAATTTTCAGTTTAAATGCTGATGTATGAGATCTGGAAATTACATTCGTATTTATTTGAATGAGTTTATTAAATGAGTCGAGTAAATATCGGGTCCTTCATAATTTGAGATTGAGTTCAAGCTCGAGCTCGAGTGAATTCTATGAGTTAGGGGTGTCAAATTTGGGTCATTGGTTAGGTTCGGATTGAATTTGGAACTAATCTGACACTATTCGGGTCAACTCGAACCCGACCTGTTTTTGCAAATGTGTCGGTTTTTGTGACTTGAACCCAAACAACTTCTAGTTCGGGACAACCCACTTTGAGTTTGGGTCAACCCGACCCGACACGGATATTGCTAACAGGGGAGGAGATTAGCGGCAGGAGTTCGTTTGGAAGGGTTCGTGCGGCTCGCACAAGGGCTGCAAGACTTCGATCTTGAGTCAGTTTGACCCGGGTGAGGCAGCGACGGTGGACCGGTGCTGGCGTGCCTCGGTGCGTGGGAGTCGGACGGCGAGGTTGGCAGATGCAAGACTGCTGGCAGATGCGGCATCTTGACGCGAATGGTTGGCGAACGCGACTTGTTAAATAGGGTTGATTTCGGGTTTTCAGGTCAACCTTAACCCGATCCGTTTTTACAAACGGGCCAAAATCTCTGACACGAACCTGACCTGAACCCGAAATTTTTGTGTCAGGTTCGAATCGGGTTTTTGGGTCGTGTCCAATATTGACACCCTACTATGAGTTTGAATTAGGTTATTTCAAATATTTATTATAAGAAATGATAAAATAATGAAATATTAGAAGCAAAATAATAAAAAATCACTTCACATAAGAAAATATATTATAAAATTTAAATAGTTTTATCAACTTTATACTTAAGCTTACAAATTTAAATATTTAAAAAATAGTTTATATTAATATTTTTCTTAAACGGGAAGGTTCTTGAACCAATGAGTTAAGTCGGAGCTAGCTCAAATTTGTCCTGTTAGGTCTTTGAGTTTAGATCATAAGCCAATTATCGAGCAGAATTTAAGTTGGCTCATGAATAGACTTGACTCACATAGTCACCCCTAATTAACAAAGCTTAGAAGAGAGAACTAATAAATAATAGAACAAATTTTTTATCTAAAAATTTTGATTGAAATTTAATTTTGAAGTCTTTTTTCTCATGCAAATGTTTTTTATAGCCCATGCTTCAATCTTAAATCTCAAAAGTACTTATTTATTTATCAATTATAGACCTTGCACTTATTTAATCAAATTACTATGTATTTATTGATAACAAAATTTAATCCTTATTCCATCTTGTACTTAAGCATCAAAGTTCAAATCAAGGAGTGGAATTTTTCTATAATTTATTTTTTTAAATATTTTTGTAAGGGAATGATTTAATCGTTCATTAATTTTGTTGTTTTCATAACTATGATAAAGTGATTTTTTAAGGCTTCGTTCGGAATGACTTTTTTAGTGTTTTTTAAAAGAGAGTTATTTTTGAACTAAAACTCTGTTTTAAAAAGCAATAAAAAATCGTTCGAAACGAAACCTAAGTCTATGAACTTTGCATCTTAAAAGAGAGTTATTTTTGAACTAAAACATTACATTACAATGATAAGCAAAAAAAATGCAAAAGTGAATAACTATTTTATGCAATAGACATTTCATTCGAAGATTTGCATATTACAGTACTTTCAAAACTAAATTCATCATCATTGAGAACTCTATTTTCAGCAAATTTATATTAAAAATGAATATATTAATCAGAAAAAACAAATGAGTTAAAAGACTAACTGCCCAATTTTAAGGTTATTAAAATTTTTAAATGTTAAAATATTAAATTATCAAGAAGGTGATAAACAGGTTATTTGATGGTGTTTTCATTTCTAGTGTAAATGATCAGAATGTCCCTCTAAATAATATATTAATAAACTTTAATTCCACACATTAGATGGTTTGTAGAGGAATTTTTATTAGGTCCGGACACCTGACGTAGCTCTACTTCTGGACACCATACTCTTTACCGTGCGGCCCGACGACCCGATTTGGACCGGAACCCAATATTGATATGTATTAGCTGATTTGTACAGACCATGGTATTGTTAGGTTTTGCTCGGTATTGCTCGGTAACGAGAAATACCATTCTATCAATACCAATACGTAGTAATACCGAGCAATACCTAAGGTATTGCTTGGTATTGCTAGGTAATGCTCGGTATTGTTCGGTATTGGTCTTGACAGAGCGGTATTTCTAGTTATTGTGAAGCAATACCTAGCAATATTGAGCAATACCTAGCAATACCGAGCAATACCTAGTAATACACGAACATAGCAATACCGGCTGTCCGTCTCGGGTCGGGTGTCAGGCCGCGCGGTAAAGAGTAAGAGCACGTGGCGACATTTTATTGACGTCCGGATGTAGAGCTACGTCAAGTGTCCGGACCTTATAAAAATTCCTTGTAGATATTACAAACAAGATTTTTTGTGGAGAGAATCCAAAGAATTACCATCAAGTACATGACATTTGCCATCACCTATAACACCAAAAACCTTTAATAATTAGATTTGTAAAAAAATATGACCCAACCTACTAACCCTACTCGAGCTCGATAAAAAAAAATTAAGTTTTAGTTTAACCCGTTTAACAAATGGGTTGAATTTGGTCTTGTATTTTGACCCGTTTATTATATGGGTCTCGTTCAAGTTGATATGCCAACCCGACTTTGACCGAAAAATGAAGTTTACTATTTTCTTTCTTAAATTCTTTTTTTATTAGTAAAATAAACTATTTTAATCAATTAATAAAAATTTCATAATTAAGAAACTAATAAAAATATTTTTTAATTAAAACGAGCTATTGGATAGAGTTCAAGTTGCTATCAAGATAGGTTCAGATTCAATTTTTTGACCCGTTTCACATAAGGTCAAATTTGATTCGAACCCTAATGAGTCCTCTTTTGACACCATCAATAGAAAAAATGATCACCAATTTATAGATAGGAGATAAGTATACTTACAATTTTAATATATATATGCATTTAAATCAAATTATAACTAAATATTATCTTTTTTTAAGTCCTAACACATTTTAAATATTTAATTGTACAAATACTAAATTAAACATTAATTCTCCTTTTTTTATTTGAGTGAAATCAATATGAATCAGCGCTTATTTTCTCTATAGAAAACCTTAAGACCTGTTTATTAAGATTAAGAGCTTTTTAACTACAAATACATATATAAATAATATCAACTTCAGCCTACAATATTTTTTAAATGTACAACTTTAGTTAACTTAATTATCTAACATCTAAAATTAACTAAATAGGTAAAAAAAAATTTATTTTAGTTTTGGCAGGGGTGCGCCTAGCTCATGCTATAGTGCAACGCATGAGCGACGCTTAAGGGCCCCAGCAGCAAGCTACTGTGATGGGCCCTCCCCCAACAAAAATTAATTTAATATCATAGTGGGCCGATGGCCCACGTATCAGATATTAAACTGATAAGAACAGATACTACACTTGATCTTAGCCAAAAGGCCGAGAAAGGTATGCGTTCTCACTCGCACCAACAGGTCCTTTTAAATCATATTGGCGCTTGCTAGTATACATTTTCAACGATGTGGGACTAAATTAGGATGAAGGGTAAACCTTTGACCGTTCATGCTTGTTAAGAAATTTTTATAAATTGATTTAATTGCAAGTATGTTATGTCAGATTTATGATAATGATTTTAAAAAATAAAAGATATTAAATTAATATGCATTAGTGACAAATTAAAAATATTTTTTTCTTTTTTTTTTAAATAAAATTAAAAGTAGAATGTGATTTAATATTTAGTATTATTTATTGTTGACATTCGTAAAAATTAATTTATTTTTTATTTAGGCAATTAAATTATTTGTGTTTGAAATAAATCGAAGAAATTATGATTTAATTCACGAGGATGATTAATTAAATCCTTGTCTTAAACCTCATATTATTTAGAACCTTAGAGTTAATAACCATCTTCATGTTATTTATTTTAAATCTTAAAGGATCTTAATAAGACAATGTTGGTCTGAGGATCCTAGTCAGGGACACCGTGTTATGAGTATAGTAGTCAAATAGGCAACCGAGGTCAAAAGAATTGTGATCGGATAATGATGATCAGATGGCGGATAATGATGATCAGATGGCGGTTGCCGAGTGGAGACTCGATGATAGTGACCTAATTGAGGTCTAACAGTGATGGTCTGTAAATGGTCAGATGAAGATCATCAAGTGGAGGTCTGTAGTGGCAATTGGGTTGACATCTGACAATGATCAACGGGTGAAAGTTTGGCGACAATGGCTGGGCGGCGAGGGTTCATCGATGAGCAGGGGCGTATCCAGCTTCTTTTTTTAGGGTGAGTAAAACTTTTTTTTTTTTTGTGACGGATGGGCAAAGATTCTTAGGATTGATAAAAATATGGCAAAAAATTTTTGAGGGGGGGGGGGAATGCCCAAAATATCTAAAATATTTCAAAATATTCTCTCTAAATATTTTAAAAAAAAAATTTGAGGGTGGGCATTTGCGACCCCCTAAGCCCTTGGTGGATCTGCCCATGTCTGTGATGGTGCTCTAGTGGAGCACCAGAATTCTTCAAGCTTTAAAGTTCTTTTGAATTATTTATAGCCAAAGATTCAAGCTTCCAAGTCTCAGTCCCCTTCATGTAGGAAGTGAGAGCCTATTTGTTGATTTTGTAAGTGACATGCTTCATAAACATGGACAAGACTCAGGGAAAATTCGGAGTGCTCTATCGGATTACTCATATTGATACCTTCTATCATAGAGCGTTCATTTAGCATTTAAGTGTCTTAGTGATGTCAAAATTAAACATTCTTATGCTCGTTGGATTCATCATGTCGAGCTGCTCGATTCCACTATAAGCTTGTCATATTTAGAGATAATTTGATTATCCAGTTAGTTTCTTGAAACTTATAAATATGCTTGAGGCCATTGATTTGAGTTTGGATTGGATCGACCATTGACAATATTTCTACACATTTGACAAAAAGTTGGATTATACAATAAAGAACCTGCCTCCACAGTTTCGAGTGGCAAAAGATCTTCCCCTGTTGGAATTAGACCGACCATTGTTGCAGAAAGAGGAAGAGAAGCGACCTCGATGACCTGCTTTTACAGTTGTGAGAGCAATGTAAATATCCAAACAAGAGAGTTGCTACAACTCACAAGTAGTTCCAGTTTTGATATTGTTTCTTCACAACATAGCGAAGAATAAAAATCATCATAGCTGATAGGTTGCAAATTTTTATGGATCCCTGTCTTTCAAGACTGCATGAGTAGAAAGTAGATTATTTAATGTGTAAAGAGTAGTATCCTCAGGATTCATAGGTGAACCAGCCGCAGCAATAACAACCTTGTAGCTCATTCTTCAATTGAATAATATGAGAGTGATTTGTGGATTGTAGCCTAGGTTCCACCATTGTCCAAATGCTGACCCAGGTTTCAAGCGTAAGAACAATAGGAAGAAATAATATTTTCAAGTGATAAATATTCTCTTAGAATATCCTCAGAATATCTCGCTCTGCCTCTCTCTCTTTTCCTCTTCTCATATGTCTCTGTCTCAATCGTTTCTGTCACTCATTCAATTCATCTTTATCAATCGAACGGATCAACTGAGTCTTCGGCAGGTAAATTCAATCAAAGAGAGCCATTTTACATAATCTTCTATCTTTACCATTATAATAGTTAGGTTAATATATTTTGTAAGATCATCATATCTTTCACAAATAACATTGAATCCAACACACTTCAATCTAAACCCAAAAATTACGTTTTTAGTTCAAAAATCTATTGATCTAAAGCTATTCCAAACTAAGCCAAATCCTTGATTAATATCCTGCCAGTTGAATATGAAGAGCCCGATTTCATATATATTTTGTTGAAGATGAAGAGCCCAAATTAATTTCGAATCTCAAACCCAAAGATAAGAGCTCCGCAAACTCTTCATTCCATCATAATAAAAAGGATTAAAATGTCTTAGTTACCTATAAAAACTGTATAAGATTCATTGAAATTCACACGCAGAATAAGTAAAATCTTCAATTTTATAACATTTTCTTAAACCAATATTAACATTAATGATTCCTTAAAGAAACCAATGACTTGATAACCTAATAATTTCATCAGGTCAATGTCTGATCCAAATTTAACAAACAATTTATTTCCAACAAGGCAACCAAAATAATAACTCTATCACCAAACTCAACTCATTTGGGCTGCAAAACATTTAAGACCTTAAATTGTTTAGTTTTGCTGAACCTTACCCTATTAGGAGCAGGTAAGCTGAATAATCACAAGCTCATCATCACATCCTTCCTCAACTCATAGGATTATGAACAAAATACACAATTTTGTAACTCTTTCTCAATCTTTCATATCTCCATTGTCATTTTCAATCTTCAATAGGCCTTCCTAACCTCTTCCTTACTAATCTTACACAATCTGTCTTAGTATTTCTTCTTCCTCTATTGTCATCTCCTCCATAGCCTCCTCAAGCTGAGCAACTAACTTTGGATCAAAAACAGCCTTTACACTCGCTTCACCACCTCCATTTGCAGTTGCAGAACCGAAGCTCCCAAACCGGGGTGTTACATATGAGCCAGGTGAGAACACCTGGCCTCCCTGTGATAGCCAATCCCTCAGGCTCCCTGTCCTTGAGAACTCAAATTTCGGAACCTTCACATTTGTAAGCTCCTTGGCCATCACCTTCCTCCTCAAGCCCTTCTCGCCGCCACCTTCCTTCTTCAATTCGCCTTTCTTTGCCTCCTCGACGGTTTCAGAGTCATCTTTGATTGGATTCAAGCTCTTAGAAAGCTCTTCTTCCTTTTCGACTTGGACTTGCACTTCATTGTCATCCTCCAAACCAGCCAAGAGCTCCCATGTATTGATGGTCTCAATGTTACTCTCAGGTTCTTGCGATTCTTCCCCCACCTTTTTGGCCAAAATTATGTCTTTAGATTCCTGATCCTTTGTAATTGATGGTTGATTAGAAGATTCATGCCCATTGCGCTTATTAGGCACTGTGTTTGTGGAGCACAAAACGGCTACAAACTGGTCGGAGGAGATGACTATTTCTTCATAACTATCTGTTTTTCTTCTCTGCAGGCGCTTCTGAAACTCTTCTCTAAAGCTTGCAGATCTTGTCATGATCTTGGAAGAAACACAACCCATATCAGTCTAAGTTTTTCACCTGGTTAAACAACAGCACCATTATTATGATCTTAGTATGTTCATATAGAGATCATCATCGATATTAAAATCTGATGGAAGCAGAAAAAAAGTAAAAGGGAAATTTAAAATAGAATTAAGAACACGAAGCAAATGAACAAAAAAAATTGCAATATTAGAAAAATCAAAGGAAAACCCACCAATTACTTAGAAGAACAAAGATTTTGATCCTTCTGCTAAATATCTTCTCTGATTCTTCACCTTCTGCTTACAGCTTCAAGCTGTCGTGAAACATTCGCCAGCTCAAGAAGGGTGATCTTCTTCTACATCGAGAAAGATAAACATTTGACTAAAAAAATGGTTAAGTGGAAAAGTGGTTAACTGTAATTAAAAATATAATGACAATTGACACAGAACCTTTCATCGCGGCACCTAACCTGTCTTGACTTTCATAATTTCATGTTGCATTCATTCATTCATTCATTTCTGCCGTCATGTTTCAAGAAAATAATTATAAATTCCGTATTGTTACTGTGCAGAAAAAAATATACAAATATATATATATATATATATATATATATATATATATATATATATATAAGCCCATATATATAACTATGAAAAAGGTAAATATTACAAGTAAAGTAAACAAACCCAACCAGCGAAAGCTAAAAGAAAAATTAGCTTAAGGGGGTAGGTAAATGATCCAAAAGAAAACTATACAACCCAATATAACAAAAAGGGAAAGAACAAAGGCAAAAATTTGAAGCAAATCCGAGAGGACTCAGGCTGCAGCAGGAACTGAAGTCCGACAAAATTCATCAAGGATGATCAGAAAATCCCCTGGTTGCCGTGAAGACCGTTCAAGGGGAGGAGGAAACAGCTGAAATCATCATCGTCCATAAAAAACAAGTCCTTTAGATAATTCTCGGGGGCACAGGGACGTTGCCCCTAGTTACTGAGGAAACCATCCAAGGGCATGGTGACATCATCAGAGTAGAATAACATCAACATCAACAAGTAATCAGTAACATTCCAGAGAAAAACCACAGCAGCAGTCACAGAGAGACAGAAAGGGATTGTGCTCAAAGAAGTAGGTGTTTGAGATTGTGGCCATTTTTCCACTTCTCCAATTTGTAAAGCAAAGCCCGCTTAATCTTTCTAGCCACAGTACTTTGGCATTCGATGATATTTCCAAACATTCTGTCATTGCGGGCACGCCAGATGAAATAAATACCTGCATTTATCATGAGATAGTAGAGCTGCTGTATATACCTATCGTCATTTATATCTTCAATGAAGTTGTAAACCTAGTAGAGGTTAGGCCTAAGAAGCAGGGTTTGCAAATGAGGGATAATTTTGCTTAGAACCCCAAAGGAAAAATCGCACTCGAAAAGAAGATGCGAGTGGGATTCCGGAGCCACAGCACAAAACATGCATGCATGATTAACAGAGATACGACGACGAGACAATTCTAGTTAGACAGAGACTATATGAGAAATGATTCAATTTTTATAACTCAAGGTCTATTTCAAATACTAAGATTTTAGTGCTTTGTAATTACTATGATTTATCTTTTGTTTTTACATTATATGTATTAGAGAGAAGGTATTCTAATTAGGAGTGTAAATGAGTAGATTCATGTTCTTGCTTAATCAAGTTAAGGTCGTTTAATTTATATTGAGCTTGAGCCCAGCTTGAAGGAAAAGTGAGGCTCAAGCTCGATAAAAAGTTCAAGATTGGTTTATTGTGGAATTTGATTTCCTATTTGGAATGTGCTAAGAAAATATTAATTATTATAATATAAATGCCGATGTGTTAATTAATCTCAATCGAGTCAGTTTGATAAGCTGAGCCAGATGAAGCTCGAGCTTGAACTCGTATAATATATGAGTTCAAATTTAAGCTCAAACTTAAACTCATTGACTCAAAAGTTTATTGGCAAGTTGAGTTCGAGCGGACTCACGAGCATGTTTGGTTCACTTATACCTCTAATTTGAATTATAAAAATTGTTTCTAAATATGCAATGTAGAATATGACTACATACATAAGACTATTAGGTTTTAAATCAATCATAATTGGAGTTCCATTCATTAAATATGATTCTTACTTGAGCCTAACTTTACAATGTGGTTTATGATGAATGTTCAAAATATTGTTTGAGCTATTGGTATTAGAATCCAATGAAATTTGTTGGTAATGCCTTTTGCTTCTCTTTTTTGCTTGGCCCTGATTTCAATTTACTTACTTATTTGTTATTCGTGGTTTTATGTATGGCACAACATTGATGTTTTTTTAAAAATATCTAGGATATTTATGTCATTTTTATTTCATTAGGCCTTTATGTAGAGAATTCACTATATCCACAATAATTTTATGGTAATATTTGAACTGAAAATTTTTCAAATTAAATTTAGAAACATTCAACTTTAACAAACATATAGTCAGACTGAATGTCTTGAGAAAACAAATTCAATGACACAAATAGTGATATAATTCAAGTTGAAATGAGCTTAAATCGAGTACTTAAAGTATATTTTAAGATTCAGAACATTAAGATAAGAACTAAATGGAATATGAATATTGCATGCTTATTATCATATCGAGTGTCTCGACGAGAAGAATCCAAAGAAGCTCGAGATCATTTAGTCTTGAGGTTATTAAGGTACTTAAATGCATAATAAATAATTTATAATCAAGGGGATCAATATAAAACATTGATAGTGTTTTTTTATTCTGGTCAAATTTATCAAAGTGTCTCTTTTAAAAAAATTATAAATATGACCTCATTTTCTATATGAATGTAGTTCATAGGTTGAGATCTGAAAAACTCTATTATCTTGACCGCCAATAATCACCCAAGACCACCTTAAAAACCTACTTGATTATTCATGTATAATCAACTATGATGCGGAGGTTGTATGATTCAAGCCATTTATTTACTATGTAAACTAAGTATAATTAATCAAATTTTGCATGGGGATGGTATGCAATTATGAACTTATTTAGCCTAGTTTTTATGAGTAAAATAAGACACTTATTCTATAAATTTACATTATTATTATATATATATATAATCATATTTCATAAGATTCAAATAAGTATTGACCTTTTTTCTTGATATGTTGGTTAAGAGCTTTGGCTACCAACTAAGAGGTTTTGAATTTGAGTCTTGTATATGTGATGTGTATGCGAATTTGCTTTCATTAGCATAAATGTTTCGAAAAAAAAGTATCCACATCAGCAACCAATGCACAAAATTGTATATAATTTTTATTTTTTGAGGAGCATAATATAGCTTTTTGTTAGAATGAAATAGATAAAAATATATTTAGAAAAAACAAACTACTAAGATATAAAAGTCAAGGGTGCCATTCATGTCAAGCTTGCAGGGTCCATGTTCACTACCTACTTTCTATGTTTTATATTTCTTCCTTTGTTATAACTTTAATGATGAAATTAGTAAATAAACTCCTCACCTAACTGAAAATTGAACTTTTATTAAATATAAGCGGGTGAAGATAACTTTAAAAACTTTGTTAAGGCTTGCCCTTTCCAGGTAGCATTAGAGAGAAAGGGATCTTTTTCCAGGTCGAACGGATGGAGTCTTTAAATATTATTATATTATTAAAGCTTGAAATGACAAATAAAATAAGGGTAAGAACACTCGCTACTAAAAAATATGATTTTTTGCAACAGTTGTTAGGGGTGGTTTGAATATCGCCATAAAAACAAGCATTTTGCATTGATTTTGACCTTTGGTATAGCCCAACACGAAACCTTAGCTCTTATACCCGTTCAACGCTCGCCTCTCGATCCTCCTTCTCTCTAGAATCGTTCGGCTCTCCCTCTTCCCTTTTCTTTTATTTTCATGCATAGATCCACTCTCGTGGCCTTCGATCGGAGGATACATGCATGATTGCGTCAAAGCCTACAGCCCGTCCACTACCATCTAGCTCTTCCTCTCATTGGCTGATTTGTCTCCTAACCCGAGCTCACGCTCGTCTGAGCATGCTCGGCCCTAATCTGTCCATGTGTTTCTTGTGATTTTCATGTAATTTCTACTATTATTTTGTGGTTTCTGTCCCACATTATTAACAAAATATTTCTTATGATTATATCAGTTGTTCTTATGATCCTCGGATTAGATCTTGGAGGGGATGGTCAGTTGGACTATCTTCCTCATGAAGTCTACAAGACAAAACTATCCTCATGATTCAATCTTCAGATCGTCCATAGTTATCACTAAAGTTACATATACTTGAAATCATGACTCTAACTAGTAGCCACTAATTATCAAATATAGTTTTGGTGCTGTGTTCAACACTATTTTATAATTGCTTATGTTATAGAGATGCAATTATTTGGACTTGTTTTCCCTTTGTAACCGTTTATGTAATAGAGTTCTGATTTCAATTTTTTTTTTTTTTGGACATCTGTGACGGTTGTAACCATCACCCATAAAAGAATTGTGGTTGTTGAAACTGCTACAATTTTAGGCATCAGTTCTTCTTGAACATATTTGTGTGGTTATGGCCTCTGCAATTTTGTACGTTAATTTGTTCGAGTTATACCTCAACGAAATTTAGCATTTTTATAAATATATATACTCTGCTAGCTGGTCCTTAAACCGCAGTGGATTAATGTCGTTGCAACACATTGCAATTACAACGGTGGTGCAACCGCTACAAGGAAATTAATGATAGGTATAACCGCCAGGATAAATTCAAAATTGTGTTGCAATAGGCTTATTTTTAACGAGCTTCCTATAAAAAGACTTTGAAAGAGACACCTTATTAGTTTTATTTTTTAGCGAATTTGATCATTTTTATCAGCAAATTATTTTTATTGTAATATGTTACTATTAATTTAATCTTACTACAGAAAAAAGCTTGTGAAGTTAGCATTGATCTTAAACATCTTAACTGTTTTTAATTGAATGTTAATGTAGTTAGGATTTAAAAAATTGAATAAGATCAGGATTATAAAATGCAAAGTAATGACTATTATAATATTAAAAAAAATAATAAATGTAGTCATTTATTTAAAAAATGAATAAATTGAATTTAGTTCAATTTTAAATATGATGATAAAATATTTAATAAATACATTATAATAAAAAAAATAAAAGATGTATTATAATGATTTTTGGCTTGTTTGCCTTTTGGGAGAGCTCTCAGGACACGCTCTAATACTTCTTCACTTATTCTTGTGAACCTTTTCTCCATCCCATCAAAATAGTTTTGGACCTTTTGGTTCTCCATGTGCACTAATCGTACCTCTCCTTATTTGATTTTCTTGCTTCATGCTTTGCTCAACTTTTGATTAATGACATCTCTTTATGTTCATCACACCTAAGAGAATGGATCAAATTTTATTCACGGCCGGCGACTCCTTGGCCCTACGATGAATCTAGTTATGCAAATATAGCAAAGGAGAAGAGAGAGAGAGAGAGAGAGCATGATGAAGTGCTTTATAATGCTCTCATCTCTATGACATGCAAAAATAGTATAGAAGCTTCTGAAAATATCTTTCAACCCTTTATTTATAGGATTGAAAGGGCTAACAGAAAGATTATACATGGAGAAATAATAAATGGTACATTTTTTTACTATTGTAGATAAAAGTACAGGACTTTCCAATTGCATGCAGTGGATAGCCACATCTTATGCGACTTAGACTACTTCAACAAGTACTTATGGTGGATGCACTTGGGGAGTACTTCATAGGCTAGTGGTTCAGCCAAATGCCTTTTATAAGTTCTTTTGTTATAGAGACTAGTGTGACTACGAAAGATGTTAATGTACAGTTTGTGTGTGTGCATCTTTTGTAGTTTGGATGAGCAAATTTTAAGAAGGGAAAGACGCCTAGACATGGCAGTTTTTCTTTTGGGTGTATTCTTATGAATAAGTATCTTATTGGGTCAAGGTCCACTAAAGGGAGTTTTTCACTCAAACTTGTTAAGATGTGCCTCCTTAGTTGAGCTCCCTTGGGGTGAACTCCATTGGGGGCAAATGTCTGCACGTATTTAATCTTATCAGGGCATGTCCCCCTAAGTAGGTCACGTCTTGCATGAGTGCTCCTCTTAGCTGACCTCATAAGTAAGCTCAACTAATCCCAACAAACTGTTTGTTCTAAATATTGGTGTGTGCACTAACACTCCATAATAATGAAGTGTATTGTATCAAACACATACACTTGCTCAACATGCACATAATTCTGTCATCTTGAGCAAAATATCTATTTTGTACTTGATCTAATATAACATATATATGATGATATATGAGTTGTTGGGTTGGGTCGTATATAATAAATGTTAACTTTAAAAATATATTATATAAATAAATTAAGACATATCTTTTTTATTTTAAAATATATTATTTAAACAACTTAAGAGCTATTTAATGTGATTTTTTTATGCTCTACATATCTATGATTCTTTCATAACATTATTTTTTCTTGCAAGAATCTATTTTTTTAATTTGCTCAATTTAATGTGATCACTTTTTTTGGTATTTAATAAATTTAAATATATTTTTTATTTTTTTGCATAAGTGAAATAAATTTTTTTATCATATTAATTTATTTTATATTTATTAAATATTTATAATTAATACAAAGTTTTCAATTTTTAAATAAAATAAATATTATAATATCTAATATTCGTATTATAGCATATCGTATCATATCATATATGTGTCGTCATATTCACATTGATTAACATCTCTCATTAGATGAACCAGATTCCTTGTCCTTAAAAATATCGAACAAAATAAAAATAAATTATAAAATTAAAGAGAGAAAGAGAAAGAGAGTGGAGTTCAATAGTAAACAAGAGAATCAACGTCACATTTTCTTATGATATTCAGTTTCTTTATAACATCAAAATATCTTAATTAAAAAAAATGTAAATAACATTTCCATTTTTAATTCAATAAAAATCACAAATTCATCCACTTACAATTATACCCCCAATCTATCACCCTACTAATTACACACAAAGCACCCACTTCAACCTTGCAATCCACTCTAAACGATTGTGATGAGCCACTCCTAATTTTATTTAATAAAAATAAATTTAATAATATTCATCCCAATTATTGCAGAGTGCGGCACCGTACCTATGAACTTACGAGGTAATTGGCTATTTACAGCTCCACCCTCCAATCCAATATCAGCCCCAAATTCTCACCCGCACTCGCCGGCGGAGAACCCAATCCTCCCCTTCCCCACATCATACACCACCTTAAATCCCTCCTGCTGCCTATTCCCAATAATCGCCACTCCTCCCGCCGCTGCAAAAGCCAAACAAGTCCTCCCCTTCTCCACATCCACCATCACATTTCTCGACGGCAGCTTCAACACCGCCCCTCCGGCGAATACTAACTGCACGTCCGGCACGGCCATCCCCACCCCACTCCCCACATAACACGTGTCTAAGATTGAGTACGCTGCCGCCCGCCGCCTCTTCTTTCCGATTGCCGTCACCACCGCCTTACTCAACGCCGCATAGATCTCATCCGGCAGCCGCGTGATTACCGTCCCTGAATCGATGATCGTCGGCGTGCCGGCGTACACCGATGCGGAGACGGAAAGACTCCGGCTTTGGACTGTTATACCTGTTAGCTTCAAGAAATAGAGAGACTTGTCGAGGGAGGAGGAGACCATGGGGGTGAAGGCGAGGTTTGCAGGAGTGTAGGAGCCGAAGGAGAGGTAGCCGGTGCCGGCGGTCGAAGGCAGGCAGTAGGAGAAGGAGTTACCATAGATTGTAGAGAGCTGGCTGAGAAAGGAGAGGCGGTCCTTAGCGAGGCCGATGAGGCCGTCGGATCTGCCGAAGAGACCTTCGTTGTCCTGTCCGCAACCGAAGACGAAGCCGTGGATGGAAGCAGGGGAGAGTGCGAGGGTGTCCTACGCCAGTAGTGGTGCGGGTCAAACATTAAAATAAAATTAAAAAATAATAAATTATCTTATTTGTATAAAAGTTCAATCTATACAAATACATTCAGATATAAAGAAATTGGTAAAAAATATCACGGGTCAATTTTTTTAAGATAATGTGTTCGAAAATTGCAATAAACTATAACGGTTCATTTAATTTTTGCCAAAAAAAAAATCTGTTATTTAGTTTAAATATATAGTTATTATATTAGTAATTATAAAAATTTAGATAATTGATATATAAATATATAAAAGTTTAATGACAAGCGTGCATACAAATATACGAAAAAAATTCATGAGCCTTACCTGAGAGAGGTAGCCAACGGAGAAGGATGAGTCTCCATAAGTAGCCGCATAGACACAGTAACCGGAGCGGGTACAGGAGGACGGATTCAGAGTGGCGGAGGAGAGATCAGAGCAAGCGGAGGCAGAACAGGGGACTTGAGCATATGTAGAAGAGGCAGCAGGATTGAAGAGAGCCCCCACCTGAGCATGGCAGGAGACTTTGCAGGGAAGGCATTGTAGCCAAGAGAGTGAGCTTCCGGTGTCGACGATGACGGTGAATGGTTTCGCCGGAGTACCAATGAGGATTCTGGCGACGTAGTTGCCGACGCCGAGGGAGGAGCCTTGGGAGAGGGGGAGGGAGACTGGCCGGCCGGCGGTGAGACGGTGGGAGAGGTAGGAGACGCGGCGGGCGTCGTGGTGAAGAAGAAAGGAGAAGGGGAGATCGGAGTGGAGTGACGCTGAAGAAGAGCAGGGGCTCTGACGGTGGTGTAGAGGGAGGTGGACGCCGGAGGAGTTGAGGGTGGCGCGTATGGCTGTTTTGTTAGTTGCGAGAGAACGGAAATGAGAAATGAATCAAATTAAAAAAAGTAATGCCAATTGGGCATAGCATATGCAACTTTCCCAATTAGAAAGTTAGAATGCTTAAATTGTTGGAGTTCACGGAACTTTTCTAAACTCTTCTTTCCATCTTATGCTTCGTTGTGATAGTTTTTCTATTATTTTTTAAATCAAAATTTTAATATAAAATTTTCTAATTTAAAATATATTTGTACTAAGAAAGCTATTTTAAAAAGCATTAAGAAAATTATCCCAAACGAAACCTTAATACCACTACTTAATTACTATCAATTTTTTGCTTTTGATAAATGTTTAAAAAAGAATTTGTGTGTTGAACATATAATTTTGAGCACAAAAAAAAAATAGAAATTCATAAATACTGAAAATTTTATTAAAATATAAATCAATAATATTTTAGAGAAACAATAATCTTCCCCTTTAATCATTAATTAAACTTTGAATCCTTTCATTTTACGAAGGAATTATATATGCAATTTTATCACTATATTTTAAAAAATATCAAATAAAACTAAATAGAAATTGCTATCTAAAACCAAAAACTAAATAATAATAATAATAATATATAATAAGATGGAGCAGTACTCTTACCCTCAAACTGAGCAGAGCAATTAGAGGTGAAGGAAACCTCCCTTGTTGGAGCCACTGATGAGAAGAGAAGAAAGAAGCAAAGACTGAGAAGTAATTCCATCTCCCCCAACTCTTCTCTATAATAATAATAATAATATATAATAAGATGGAGCAGTACTCTTACCCTCAAACTGAGCAGAGCAATTAGAGGTGAAGGAAACCTCCCTTGTTGGAGCCACTGATGAGAAGAGAAGAAAGAAGCAAAGACTGAGAAGTAATTCCATCTATCTCCCCCAACTCTTCTCATGCTTCTCTCATGAGTCCTTATGGCCTCCTTATATAAATATTACAAGAGGGCGAGTCCGGTACTCTCATCTCTTTTGGTGGGCACCTCTCCTTTGCTTTCATCTCTATTCAAAAGGAAATGAAGCCAATTAATATGGGCGGTGACGTATTAAGATAAGCTTAAATAATATATAATGATAGGGATCAGAACATGCAAAAGATATGTAGCTTTGAAAGAGGGAAAGAGATCAAAATCCAGCCTTCTTCTACCAAAATTTTAACAAACACCTAGATCAATTAATGCCATTCATTTAATTAATAATAACTATTACGCTTCAATTTTATCATTAAAGTCTTTTGTTATATACTCAACAATAATCTCCCATATAGTTTCTAAATTTGTAAATATATATGTTTATTGATTATGTTTGAACTCATTATATGTAAAATTTTCTTCCATCAATTGTAAATGTTAACTAAGGATTGTAATATTAGTCGTAAAAGCTAGTAAGCTTTATTTTATTGTTGTGCTTTTGCTTTATTCAAATTTTTTTTGTTATAATGTACCCTTGTGTCCTTTGAAAGCTCCAATTTAACAAAAAAATATTTTACTTGCCTTTGAGAAACATCAATAATAGATTTTATGGTACCTCTTGCTTTTTTGTGCTTGATGTCATATATACATTAATAGTACTTCTAACAACCTACAATTTCATAAAATACAATTATTTGAAAATATGGAAAATATGCATTACAGTGTTACGGTGTTGTGCTTGAGAGTGCAGCGGCACGAAGAAAGCACTGTTGCAGTGTTGAAGCCTCTATTTTATTGTAACTCTGGGTTCAACATGCAACACAAGAGTGCTATGATTTTGGGCATCGTGGCGCCAGACACTAATGATTATTTTTATGCATATTTTAAATTAAATATCATGTAACATCTTCTCTACTCCCCATTTCATTTGGCTTGTCGGGTAAGGAAAAAGGAGAGCTAGCAAAAGAGGAAATTTCATCTGTCGAATTTATTAAGAGATTTCTTATGATCGTTGTAGGTAATCCGAATCCTACCTTCACTTTCATTGATTTTGTGCTCTATGATTTTAATCTTTTAAAAATAGATAAAATGCATTTTCTACTAATTTATAAAACTTTTACTATGTAACTTTTCGTATGTGATACATATAATTTTTATGGGCATTTTGACAATAATATTATTAAATTTCAATGGATAAATTGATTGTTATGAATTCCTAAAGTTAATAAAAATGTATACAAATTGGTATGCATTTTATAGATTATAACAGGGTTATCGCATTTCATACATGATATTGAATTGCATAAAGAAAATGATATGAATGATACATATGATGATATGACATTTCATATAAGCAATGAAGGCTAATTATGAACACTAATGAATACGGGTAGGTTATTAAAATGATAAATCTTATACATGAGGGCGCGCACGGGCCGACATGCTTTTCCTAAAATAAAGATTTATGATATAATCCTAGATACTAGCATGTAACTGATTGATGGATTACGCCGTCAGATAGAGTGTAATAACCCAGTCAAATAGATTTTTAGGAGTTATTATAGCTTTAAATCATAAATTGTCTTCACCATAACATAGAAATTTACTAATTATAGTTGTTTAATTATACTATTTTTTCAAAAATTTTGGGGCATTGATGCAAATTCTTAAGAAAATGACACCTCTCGGTACAAGTAGGGGTTTTGGGACCGTCAGATGTCTGTTTTGCAAATAGATTTCACCAAAATTTTTTAAATAAATTAGGTAATTTTATAAATAATTTTCTATGATTTTTAAAATTTTAAAAAGATTTATATGAGTTTCATACTAAAAATTGAACAAATTATATAATTATATTTATATTATATTATTATTTTATTATAAATATCATAAAGCACTTAACTGTTTATTTCTTAAAACCATTTTCCTTTATTCATTCGGCTGAACAAAGATATGTAAGAAAATATTATAGAAAAATAAAAGAGAGAGAAAATAGAACTTGAGATTAGGAAGCCCTAGAGTATTTTATGTCGGCCGATCATGTTGAAGATTTGCTTATCTCATTATAATGAATCATTATCTTATTTCTAATTTTATTAAGTTGATGTTTTTAGGATTTTTTTTTATCAAATTTATATTATCATTACTGAAAAATGATGCAATTTTATATTGATAAAATTTTCACTGCGTAATTTTTTATATGCTATAAAAATTGAGATTATAAGTATTTTAAGTATTTGTTTGAGATTATTTGCTTGTTGATTTAAAAAAAAAACAACGATTTTTACCAATAAAAATTTATTTTGACATCTAAAAGTAGTACTTTAATTCAATTAATGCTTCATAATATTGTTACATATATATGATTTATGATAATTTGGTTAATTTTTAAAAATGTGAATTTCGGCTTAGCAGGATTTCTTGTTGGCTGCTATTAGGATATTTTGACACTTTTTGAATTGAGTCCAATTATACTTTATTATTATAATGCATTTAAAAATAAACATGGGTATGTAATTGAGTAATAGATGATCGCTATTACTTATTATAGTACTGTGATAATAATGTGTGTAAGAAAAAAAGTAAAAATTTATCATCCACTGACGTTGGATGGAGACTGATTGATCTGTACGTGATGGTGGGTTGATAGACATTTCTTTAAATACTGTGATTTGAAGTTATTCTCTATTGATTCACGTGATAATAATTAAGAATTATAAGAATATGATTATTGTGCTAACGGATAAAGAAAGTGCCCTAAGCCTAAGGGAATGCTTAATGAACCACAAATAACAACAAAAGAGAGCAAGAATAATGAGAAACATCATTAGGTTCAGCTTCAATAAACTTATGTATATAAACAAAGAGGTCAAATAATCCACTAAGCTTCGAATGAGATATGTGAAGAACTAAATTTCTCTAGAAATGAAATATATGGACAAAAGTATCACTTTATCTAGCTAAGAAAAATGTTGTTACATATAGCGAAGATGAGGAGTAGATGTGAATGAGAGGCTATTGCTGCTCTAGTTATTCTCCTAACCTCTCCATTATAGGATTCCAGATAAGAACTATTCCTTGCAATGAATAAGAGCTTATTCTCTTGCTAGAATAAAAAATAATAAGGCTTCTTTCTATTAAAGAAGCTGAACAACTCCCATTGCAAGCACCCAAAAAAATCTTTTTCCTTTCACCGAGAATGCTTCATGTTGAGGAGCTTTTATTATGTCCTCTGACCGAACATAGATCTACGTTCGGTCAAAGAATTATTACCCGATTTTTGCTCGGTATTTTTTTGTATTACCCGGTATTGCTCGGTATTACTCGATATTTTGTCTTCACATAATGATATTTCTCGTTATTATTGGTATTGCTCGGTATTTGCTCGGTATTTCTCGTTTTGTGCCTGCGATCTTAGTGCCGGCCGAACGCAGCTCTACGTATGTTCAAGTATTCAACCGGACCAAATAATTAGATATGTTATGTAGCAAATTTGGATTAATAAAGAGTTATCATCATTAAATAACCAAGTCTAAATTGAGTAATGTAGCTATCACCGCGAAAAAAATAAGTATGCATTGAGTTATGCAGCTATCATTTAAAAAAAAATAAATAAATATGAATGAATCTTAAGTTAGTAGCCCCCCAAGTTTTTTTTTTTTTAAGTTAAGTATTATCCAAAATAATTAAATGAAATTTTGACTTCAAACTTAACATCTCTCTCATCTCAATATAAAGTTTTATCTTCCAGAGATAGAGGAACAAAGAAAAATAATTTTTGTAGTTAAAGAGTTTTTACTAATCACATTAAATTATTGAAAAAAAAAAAAAATCGTTCCAAAGAAGAGTAGTAGTAGACGGGCAGCAGGCTCCCACGCGTCCTTTTCACAAATTTGGATGTTCACAATTAATATATGAGGGGAGAGTTTCTACCGTGACGGATAAGTTTCAGGAAACGGACTACTCGCCTAACATAATGTAAAGCGAAGTGCCACCTACCATGTGAAATGATTCTCGCGACTGCCCAGGCAAAATGTACCCGGAAAAAGCATGTAAAGTGAAAACTATAAATATTAAATAAAAAATAATATCAACTACCGCTAAGATTTTGAATATTATCTTTAATGAAACTTAAAATTGTTGTAAAAATCATCTTTCTGCAACAATTTTTTTTTTCAAGTAATGAAAAAATAGTAATGAAATTGAAATTATGATTGTGATTTAAAAAATAAAGCATTAAGAAAGGTTTCCCAAACAAGGGCTTATTTGGGATTTTTTAAATTTTTTATTTAATTTTTATTTTACAAAATATTTTGAAGAGATCATTAAAAATTGCCAATTTTTTATAGTTTTTTAATTTGAAAATTTTCAAGTGTTTGTTTTTTAAGATAATTATATATATATAGAAAAATAAAAATGATTCCTTTAGTTGATTCTATTTCTTAATGATTACTAATATAACTTTTTAGTATTTTTTTAATGAAACATTTTTTACTAAAAAAACTGCTTTAGAAAATATTAATAAAGTTGTCCTAAAAGTTTAAAAATCATTAAGAAAGTCATCCCAAGAGAAGTCTTAATTACTCTATGATTAGTAAATTGTCTTTTGGTTTGTCCATCGTCTTTAGAAATTCTCTTTAAGTTCTTTTTTGCTCTCAAACTTTTAAGATTCAATTTCTATTACTGATATGGATTATTCTCCTATTTTTTACCCATGGAGTGTACGTATTACATCAATGGCTTCGCTATGAGTGCTTGAGTGGTCTCCATTACTCAAGTTCAAGGGAGAAGCATATGTCATTTCTATTTGGACTGTTTTGTTTCACATTTTGATTCACTGTTAAAGCATCGTTTCATGCAACATCTTCATTTGGCCTTTGATATCACTTTACTTTTAGATTATCGGGGCTTGTGGGATGACAGGACGGTGGACGACGGGGCTTGAATCAATGGAGGTTGGGGAGGCCAGTGCGGGACAGCGGGCTAGAGTGGGATAGCGGGCAATGTAGGATAGCTGGCAATGCGACGCAACGCTACGGGCAAGCAGGGCGGGACAGCGGTCTG